CTGTTCCCCCTCACACACAGTTCCCACCTGGTTATTTTGAGCCAGTCGACCCTTCCTCTGGTGTTGTGCAGAAATAAAGCTGGAAGTGCAATCCTGGAAGCAGTTTTGGATGTTATTAAACAGTGAAGCAATGGATTATAATGTCCCTTGTCATTGCAGGGAGGTTGGAAGTAGATGCCCTTTAAAGGTCCCTTCTGACCCAAACTATTCTGATTCTGAAATTGTGATTGAGGTACCACTGTGTAAATACATTTATTAAACAGTTTGCTTTCTGGATCAGTAGGGGATGTTTTATGGAGCTGTTCCTTTGGAGTGTCATTCTTTGGGCCAGCTTTAGTCTTGGGTTTGTAACTCTGCACAGAGAGGACTAGAAATCATTTTTTCATTATCAGTCCTAATGTTTATGCAGTATAAGCTTTAAGCAGTTGCAGACCTCTCCCATGTCTTTGGGGCATATGAAAAATGTTCCCTAGGAATGGATATCGATAATATATGTGCAGGCAACGTCGTTTAAGCCATAGATAGTGTTTTAAGCTCATCAGTATCAGTTTTGTGTACTGTCAGCTTTGCAATGAAGTAGGATATGTTTTGGTCCTACTCATTCCCAGATGAATAAAAATGGTTGTATTGTTGGAAAATGAGAGCTTGACCTGCAAAGTTACTTCAGCTTAGGGTTTCCATGTATTTGTTTAATACTTAGATCATTATCCCTTGTGATCTTACACTTACCATGGACAATGGCTTTTTTGAGCCACTTCCAGAACGCAGAATGACTCTGAAGTGATTTGCTTAAACCTGTCTTTTTATAGTTACTGTCATCATTCTCAGCTGAGTATTGACCTCTCATATTTTGACAGAATCTGTTGTATTAGCACTGTGACAAATGGCATAGTTTACTTTTGAGTAGATTACTTGAAAAGTAACTGCTGCCTTTAGAGGCACAGTGTAGTCTGTAGTCTATTCCCAGTGAAGAACAATAATTACCCTCATTAGTCCAAGTGTGTGTGTTTCTCTGTAATGATTCAGACATATTGGTGACTCCATCCAAGTGCCAGAACTGTAATTTGGGAGCATTGTGTCTCCCAGATCACATAGATGAACGGAGAGTTTGCAACACCATCGCCCCGGAGAAGGATGTGGATGGATTCCATATCATGAATATTGGACGTCTGTGTCTCGATCAGCCTTCCATAATTCCTGCCACTGCTGCTGCCGTGTGGGAAATCATAAAACGGACAGGTAAGAAGCTCAGCTGCCCTGAAACCCTTTTCATCTGGGGAGAGGAGCAAAGGGTTAAGTGAGGTGTGAGTTCAAGGTTATCTCAGTGTATTGGGCTGAGCGAAGAACAAACATTTAGAGGAGTAATGTGAATAATAAGGAGGTGCCAAATAGATGAGATCTTGTGCCAGCAGCATAACTATTAATTAAGCGTAGAGAGTAGTACTTGGTGGAACACTTTGGTAACTTTGCCTTTTACAGTGTTGCAGGGAACTTTCTGTGCTATTGTGTACCTCCTGATTCTTTGTGAAATAGAAGGTTTCTATGCATCAGTTTCTGTAAGTGAAAGGGAAGAACCAAGATCAAGAATGGGAGCAGTTACTTCCCCTTTTTCAGGGGAAAAGAGTGCCCAGGTGTTCACTAGTGTTCATTTTCTCCTTAGAACATACGTGTTCTTCCTGGTAGCCATTAGAGCTTCAGTTCCCCTTTGTGGTCAGAGAAGGGAAATGAAGTTCCTGCTGAGGGTGGTTCAGATCCCCTGAATGAGTTGCCAGTTTTCTCTCCGCAAGGGGAAAGCTGAAAGTTGTTTTGTGGATTCATCCCTCAAATTCAGCCTTGTGGATTTTCACATCAAGTTTATGTCAGCATTCCACAGGAACAGATAATTCAGTCTTGGGGAGTGAGAAGAAGGGTTTAGGTGTATCAAAATAGTGAAATAGAATTTTTGTTTGTTTTTTTTTTTCTCTAAGGAATACCCACATTTGGAAAAAATGTTGTTGTAGCTGGAAGATCTAAGAATGTTGGAATGCCTATCTCAATGCTGTTACATACTGATGGAGAGCACGAAAGGCCTGGAGGTAAGTCCAGGGATGTTCTTTGAATGTTTCCTTTTGTGAAATCCTGAAAGCGAAGCTGACCAGAGGATTCAACTAAAAGAGAAAGCTTTTCACTTTTGTCAACACCTCTAAGGGGAGCAGGGAAATAAATGTGCTCATCTATTTCCTGGTATATTCTCAGGTGAGTAGTTTCTGGACTCGACTTTTTCTGGTACTACATCACCATGCTGTCCTCCCTTTGAAACAGCTGCTGTTTGCACACTGTCAGCACTGAGTGTTGAGGATAACACTGACAGTGTGACCTTAAAGAGCTGCAGAGTTTGTGTGAGGTTTGTACAAAGCAGTGCAGCTCTGTGCCTTCTCCTCCTGCTTATTTGGTAACCACTTGGTTTTTCGTGCACACATGAGCACACACGTACACATAATTCCACCTAAGCTTTTGTCTATCTATGTAAAATAAAGATTCCCTAATTTCTGTTGTGCTGTGTCAGTTAATTGGTGTTTATGAAAATGCCCAAATGACCAACCAAGTAACTTGTTTCAGCGTGAGTTCTGGGATATTACCCATGTTGGCCTGGGGGATGTTTCTGCGGGGCAGTTTCTATCCCCCTGGAACCCGGGGGTTGTAGTGGAAATATTTTTAAGCAATTCTAATTAGAGAAGCCTGCATGTGCTGCTCTAATTGTGCTGTAGGAAGAGAAACAAGTATAATTTCAGTAGAATGCTGCCCTTTTGCAACTTCCTTGTGGTGTTGGAAAGTGCCACGGCGGTGTGCACAGGTGAGGTAAACATGAACGTTTAATCCCAGGCACATTTAATGGGAGCGGAGTGAAATCTGTTATTAATATAATAAAACACTAAAAGCTTTGCAGTAATCATGGAGTTGGTTTTTCCATTCAGCCTCTGTGGGAAAGTTGCTGTTTGAAACTTCTCTCAGTGTTGGAGTTGTAATTACCATCGGTGCACAGTTCTGGTCTCATCCCCATTCCCATGAAAATGAGTCGCATTTTTGCCCTTTGCTGCAAATCCTGGGTGACGTCTTAGTGGCAGTGCAGCTGATGTTTGGAGTAGGCTTGGTGCAGCACAAAGTTAGGTTGCAAACCATTCCCAGGTTTCTCAGTTGGAAATCTGGAGACTTAGTGACCTTGTTGTACTTTGTGGTCTTCTGCCAGTGTTCTGGTTCCTGGCATCTTGTGCAACTTCTTTGGCACCCTTGTTTGCTGGCATTGTCAGTGGTGCTTTGTATGTCCTGTATTTGCTGTTGGACAGAGAAATGGTTGGCTATTGCCTGAGCAGTAGCGGGACTGGAATCTAGATACAGAAAGAGTTAACTCGTTGAAGTTATCTTTGCTTAATTTGAAGAAATGTATTTATTATAAGGTAGGTGTTCTAGTTTTCCCACCTCCTAAGTGGTGGTACCCAGTCTAAAGCAGCTGGCAGTGAGAAAACTAAGGAACAAGTGTACTTCTTAGATGATAAACTAACTTTAAGTGTGGGTATATGTTGTGTACGTGACGATAAATAGTTTTAATAGTTGTAATCTGGTGGAGTTTTCATTCGTGACTCGCAGATGGGGCTGTCCTTGAAGATCTGGTTCATCTCCTGCAGGTGGTTTTCAGCTCTGCTGCTGCTGTGAAAAGCAAGAACCAGCCTGGATGGTGTGTGGAAGGCAAGGCAGGTCAGGGTTAGGCTTTGGCTTTTTTTTTAACTCAGGAGGATGGGGAGCAGACAAGACCTAAACCAAAGTGCTGAAAAGGAACTTTCTCAGGTTGTCAGTCAGGGTAGGTTTTTATCAGCAGTTGGGCTGATTTGATGAAATGTTTTTGATTGAGAAGTGATGCAAGGGGTGTGTAGGATACTACTTTTTTCTTCATTTCTGTTGTAGGTTTTGGTGTTTTTTTTAACAGATCCTGAACAGATCTGAAAAGGTGGGGCCTGTCTTCATTTGGGACGTTTTGTATGTAGGAACAGTCATATCCTGCAGGTGGCAATATCTGATCAGATGGAAGAGCTGTGTGAACCCTTCCAAAACAAATCGTGATCTGTGTAGGCAGGTCAAGAGACTATCTCTGTTTTATAACCTAGGGAATTGACTTGGGAGTATGATGTGGAATCTTAATTGCTAAATATACTCCTTTCAGCAGAAGTAACAGTGTAAGAATAGTTGTTTATTTTTTATTTTGGCATGATCCTAAATAAATGGAAACCCTCCATTTCTGAGGTGTCTGTAAGCTTCTAGACCGCTATTCTCAAGGTAGGGGCTTCCCCCCCTTCTTTCTCATTTCCCTTTTGGTAATGAGAGCAATTACTTGGTTTCAGGAGCTGACAACAGACACATCTGTCACTAAAATCTTGGTGGCAAATTAGCACTGATTTTATTGCTCAGAGGTAACTTTGTAACTTTGGGTTTTATCCTTTTGTTTTTCTCACCCTCTATGCTGAGTTATGATTGTGATTTTGGGGAAGACATACTTCTTTTGTTTAAAGCAGATATCAGAAGACTCCTGTTTCAAGCCTGTACTTTTCTGTTCTCATTATGTGCAAATGTCTTGATCTGCCTCCCTTTAAGGAGATGATGGGCACTATAGAGACTAAGGAGGAGGGATTAAAGATGAGGGGAAAGAGCAGAGAATTCAGAGCACAGAGAGGTTGAAGAGGACATGCTTGAGGAGGAAGAGAGTTAATGAGAGGCACAGATTGGATCAGTCAGACACATTCCAGAGGAAAGAGATGTGATGGTAATGTCTGAGATGACAAAAAGTTTTAGTTTAATGGTTAATGATGTGGCTTAGGAGTCTGTGGTGAGTGGAAGGCAGAGATGGAGGGATGTAACATCTGAACATTGCAGTATGAATAGTTGACAGGAAGAGGGTTGGGGGGATCTCCTTTGAGAGTTGTTATCTTGGCTGCTTGCTTGGGCAATCCTTAAGGGATAACAACACTTGGTGTTGGATGCAGCAGGAGACTTCAGACCCTCTCCCCGTGACAGTTCATTTTGTGTGTCGTGGCCTTGGGATCTCCATCAAACAGCACAGGGGTTTATTTGTAGCTCTTGCCAAGAAGTGTGGGTGTGTGCTGGATTACATGCTGGGTTTACTTTCTGTAATTCCACTGAACCTAACAAAGCTGCAGAATACATAATTTAGTATACAGTGTATAAACTAATACATCCTGTGAGAATTTCTAAGAGCAAACGTTTCTTCATATATGTGAACCGCAAGTGTTGTGAGTGTTCTGCCTATGCTCATTGAAATGTTGCATCCCAAGACAAATCCGATGATCATCTGTTCTGTTGTTAATGCACCAAAATAACTAATTTGCACCTGAAAGTAAATGCTGTGCTTTTTATAGCATTTCATATGTGGCAATTAATTGATAATCTGTTCCATTTCAGGTGATGCCACAGTGACCATTACTCACAGATACACCCCAAAAGAGCAGCTCAAGATCCATACGCAGCTCGCTGACATAGTAATAGTAGCTGCAGGTAATGCTCGTTGTTGTTAATGCTCCAATTGCAGCATTTCCAACCAAAAAGGAGGACTTTGAGTCTGTGGCAGCGGCTGCTTCGGGTCCCACTGAACGGTGTGTGCTCGGGTTTGCTGAGGGTGTTGCAGTAGGGAGGATTTCTGCAGTAGGAAGGGCGAGTGATATGGCTCTTTGTTCTTGCCCTTCACATTTGCAGACTCATAAACTGTTTCTCGTCACATGTGACACCTTTGCCTTAGGGAGACTTCAGAGTGAACTCAGGGTTGGGAACCAGTCAGTGCATAGTTTATACAGGTCTAATTACGTAAATTAAAACATTCTCTGTGTCGTGCAAAAGTCATGAGTCATTTAAATTTTGACAGGAGGGTTTCTTTAAATCAGCTGGAGGCTGCATTCATAAAACCGTGGTATCATTCCCCTGCTGTTAATATCAAGGGCAACCCTGCTAAATGAACTGAAGGTTTTGGTAACCTGTGTTATTATGGCTGGGTTTTTTTCCTTTTACAATTTTCATGTAAAGGGGAAGAGAATGGTAACGGCCTGGAGGCAGGGGTCTGAAAAATCAGTGTCTATACTCATAAAGCAATGTAGAGTGAAATACTTAGAGTTTGACTCGTCTATCCCAAAGAAACAAGCACAACTGCTTCTAGGCGACCTCTGTTTTTTGTTTACAGGTATTATAAATAGGAAAAACCCCATAATTTAAAACAAACAAATAATGCAACTTACTAAAATCTTGGTAAAACTGTGTGTCCCTTGCAGCTCAGGATATCACCCTTCTCTTGTACCATTTTGAAGCACTACAGGAGGATTGTGTCATTCCCCTTTTCTGCTCCCTTTCTCCCTCCCATCATCCTCAAGGCCCAAATCATGCTTCCTTATTTTCTGGGTGGAGACAGAGAGGTACCTGTCTAAAGCTTGTCACTTCCTGTTGGAGTGAGATGCCCTTGGCTTCAGGGTTTTACTTCTGTGTCTCTTTCCAATGGCAGCTCAGGAGCAAAAACCAGCTTGTTTGTCCCACATCTATTTACCCAACTGTGGGCCTGACCAGAATTCCCCACTGTGAATGAAAGATAACGATGTGTGCGCTGACTGGAAATAAACCAGTAACTTTTCATCCAAATTCCCTGATCCAAGTTCATCATCGCTTCAGATTTTAACCCCGAACCTGGTTTGTCATCAGTTCTGCTTGGAGTTAAATGACCCAGTAGCAATTCAGCCATGTTGGCACTTCCCATTATTTTCCTTGTGTCATTTGTAACAGGAGTGTGATCCAGCACTCATTGCACAACGTGAGATATACTCGGAATGATGAAAAAAAACTAAGGCTTGGTTGTGCAACCAGCGTGCAGCCCTGCCCCAGTGGGTGCTCTGGGCAAGATTCTACTTTAGAATGGTGGAATCCCTCCAGGCTTCCTTTGTTGCATGAGAACTGTGCACATTGTGCCATTGGGATCACACGCTCCCGGAAATGCGTGACCTGCTCAGTGAGTGTTGTAGAACAGGTGACTTGTACCCTGCCAGGTTGGAGCAGCTGCTGTTACAGGCCACTGTGCAACACATGGAAACGGAAAAGAGCTTTTTGTGCGTGTCTGTGTGCAGGACCAAGATTGCCATTTTCACTCTTTCTCCCATTCCCACGTAGTACTTTTAAAGAGCTGTCTGCATCCTGGCTCCTGTTGGTGACTTGTTGCAGTGAGCCTGTTTCATGTGGTCCTCCACCTCTGAGTGCTTTTCTGTTTACTTGCATCCATGGCTGTGGTAATAGCTCAGATCAGGTGCTTCTATTGTTACTCCTGAGTGTGAGGAGATCCATCTCTGTGTGTTGTCTCTTATTCTCCCCCAGACTTGGGGCCCCTGTTTTTCTGCTTCCTTGGATTGTAACTGTCCATGGAGTTTATTCCTTCCCTCTTGTTCCCTCCCAACTCCTTGCATCTTAAGTTCCAACAGTGCTGCCCTTGTCCAGCCTACCCCTCCCTAAAATCTCTTTCAGGACCACACAGCTTTTGGATTTCTTGCCAAAGCATCCTATTTCCTGTTAAGCACACCTGACACTTTGTATCCCTCCAAAGCTTTTCCCATCTTGTCCCTTTATCCCTGCCTGTGCAGACATCCCCCAGAGTCTGTTCTTTTTGCCATTGGCCCAGGCCTGGAGTAGAAGGATAAGTGCAGCTTTACCTGTGGTGCTCGTAGAACCACCACAGGACTTGCAGGGCGGTGATGGAGGCAGCAGGACTCTTGTACTAGTCAACCTGCTGCTCCTGCTCTCTGCTGAGAGAGAAGCCTCACCTGCCTGCTAGGTTTGGAGAGGAGGTCAAGAGGAAAAGGAACAAGTGTGCCAAATGCCAGATGAAATTCTTCTGGGACTACCTGTGCCGTCCCTCGGGACGAGATCTGTGGTCCTCTTGCATAGGAAATGCCGGTTAATCAGAGCCTTTATTCAGGTAGTGTCTGGTCAGCTGTATTAGAAATTGGCTGTTTCACTGTCCTTGCACCTAAGCTGGGATTAGGTAGGGCCTTTTTTCTCCTTTGTTTAAAATGTGATTCATCGTTTCCTACAAAAATTACCAGGTAAAGGTTTTCCCACATTCTTCAGCCAGTGCATTTTAGGAATAGCTGCTCTAATGCTTATCTCTTCCTACTGGGTATGTAAAGTAGGCTTAAGTAAATAGATCTGCTCGTTTGGTTTGGGGGTTAGTTGATTTGTTGCTATTAAGTATTTGGCCTGTTATCAAACCATTTTACAAAGGGTGTAACTGTGCAGCTTCCGTTAATGTGCTTCCAGCCCTATCACACACACATCATTTACCCCCATGAGGCCGAGGCATTATCCAGCTACCAGCCTGCTTGCCATGGATTGCATCAGAGCGGGATGGAGACGCAGCCAGATGTTATCAAGTGGGATAGGAAAGAATTTAACGTATTGGCTTGCTCAATGTATGAAGCAGAGTTTCAAGCTGGTGTCCTATGGGGGAGTGAGAAATGGAGAGCAAGGAAGGTTCTTGTATTGCCTGTATCCAAATGTCTGGCTGTGCTCCAGCACTTCACAGGAAGCCAAAACCTCGTATGCCAGTGCTTGCCCCCAGTAAAACTGCAGTTTCCAACCAGATGGATTTGGTTTCTTTTCCTTTTTGTCTTTCCTCCACCTGAGAGAAAACTGCTTTGGTGGGGAGAGGGGAGTATAGACTCCCTTTGTGGAGCTCCTGTATTACTGGGATAAACATTGCTCTGGGAAGACAGAAGTGAGGGAATGGTTCAAGAAGGAAGGTGGATCCTACCCCAGACACTACAGAGCTGTTGCCCACTGGAAGGTGATGAAGGTGAGCGATGCCAAGGCTGGGCCTCTCTGGTCAAGTGTGGAGGGGTCTCCTAAATTGTTATAAATAGCAGGACATGGTTTGTTGTAGGAGCTCCCCTCTGGAAGGTCAGTGTCGTGCTGGGATTGCCAAAGCAGTTAAAATTGCTTATTGGCCCAGTGTGTTTCCTGAACCTAAACCAATTCCATGGCACAGCTTTGGTGAGGGGTTTTTTGTAAGTCTTTTTTTTAGTAGTAGCAGTTACAAACTGTGTGCAGTTGAGGAATAATTGTTTTCAGTGTGGGACTTATCAAGCAACGTTGAAGTGAAAGAATTGTGTTCTGTGATGTGAATTCATACCTGTGCATGCACACCCCTTCATATCATTCAAAACTGATGACCTAAGACTACCTGGCCATGTTAATCCAATATGTTGTTGCTGATTCCAGGTGTCCCAAAGCTGATTACTACTGATATGGTCAAAGAAGGTGCAGCTGTGATTGATGTAGGCATCAACCATATCCATGATCCTCTTACAGGAAAAACCAAATTAGTTGGGGATGTGGACTTTGAAGGTCAGTGAAACACTTTGTACAAACCCGTATATATTGAAGTTCAGAGGATTCATTCTTGGTAAATACTTGGAATAGGCAGTGTCTCAAATGAGACATTATTTGCAGAAATTTTTTGTCATTTATTTACTTTAATAACACAATCTATCTCCTTTTGAGAAATGCTATGTTATTTGAGAGAGAAAGTGTTGCTTTTAATTACAGGAACAGGAACCTTTAAGAGACACATGAGCTCTTCTGTCAGCGTGGTGCAGAAGCTGCTTCTCTCCCTGTTTCTTTAATCCTTTGTGTCTGTGAAGTGTTTCAAGAGTAATCAATTCAAACAATTGCCAAATAATAAATAATAATAATAATAAATCAAAATCAATCAGCTGTCTCTCAAGCAGAGGGTCTCCCACTGTTCACAGAAATCATTATTATACCACAGCTGCTCAAGCTTCCTCTTCTGCTCTTCCTCTGTGCTTGTCTGTGCAAATGTTAACTTTGGCTTTGGAATTCTCCTTTACACTAAGGTGTAATGTGGGTTCATCTTGAACTGCTGAACATCCTGGTCCAGACAAGCATAGCAGATAAAAATTGTTGTTCCATATTGATCTTTTTTTTATGTTTAACATGTTGCAGAGCAAGTTCACAATGTAACTTGATGAAGTGTCTCTTCTCTGGAGGAGTTCCAGACTGGAATAGCAGGATTGTTGGAGTTCAAAATTAAAGCTTATTGGCAGAGTTGAGTGTGGGAAGCTTAGGCAGCATTTACCCACATTATTAATGGTTCTCAACAGTTCCTTATTTTGATAAGTATGAAAATCACCCACAGGTTTTTTTCACAGTTATTAACATGTTGGCTGGCATAATGTCTGAAAGCTTAATTATATTCAGAATGTTTGTAGCCAGCTGTGTGTGTTTGTGATTCCATCACTCCCTGAGTTGTGCTGCTTTTCCTCCTTGTGCATGATACCCCTGTGTTAAAGTGTGTGAGATCACCTGCACCAGTGGAGCTGAGCCACTGTCTTGGCATGTGTTTGGAAATGTGTAAGTGGATGTGTACGACAGAGCTCCAGGAAAATCACACTTTTGGAGGATGACTTGAAAAGTTTCTCTTCCTTTCTTATCTTGCTTGTGCTGTCACAAATCAAAGGCTCAATTTTCTGTTTTCAGAACTGAACTAAAGTACAGAAATTTTTCACAATTTTTTGTCTGAGCAGGTTTTGGAGTAAAAAAGCTGCAACTTTGAGAAGCATGAAACTGCATCCTTCATGTTTGTTTCTGTTCAAACACAAGACCTTGTGCCTGCAATATAGGTGTAGATTCAGTGGCAGGGCTGTGATTCAGAGTTTCAGCAATGCGCTGTATCTGTCTCGTCATGTCTGCTGTGGGTTGTTCTCAGGATTTTACCTGGGGGGAGGGAAGATCCAAAAAAGAGGGAGGAACTGCAGCTTGGATTATGCCACTACAGTTGCAAGTAGCATTTCACTGTGCATTGCCAAAGGGAAATTGTTGTTGGTTCATTGGTATCGGTGAAAGTTTCACTAAATCTCTAACAACAACAAAAAACATCCCACTGTGTACAGTTCTGAATACTAACAAGTAAACCACCCTTGGCAAGTATTTGATTTGACAGTCAGGAGATGGAACAAGCCAGTGTGTTCATGTAGCGAATCATTTGTTCCTTTTCCTCCATTTGATCACTTGACTGAATTTATATTTAAGTCTAAGTGAAAATGATTTTTTGCAGGTTGAGGCCAGCTACATAAATGGCTGGCATGACATAGGGCACCTGTTAACCATCATGTAGCTCACCAATATCTATTGTCTCTTCACCTATATTAAGTAGAAAAATGTGGCTGTGAGAAGAGCAAAGGTTTAACTGGGCAATCAAAGGTCAAATTTCATGTATAGAAATATATGGCTTCCTTCACCAGATCTTCTGGCTGAAAAGCTCCTGTAGTGGAAATTAAGTTTATTAGATGGCTGGAAGCTGTTTTGATTCAACTGTCATATCCAAGCAATACTTAGATGCCATCTTCTAATCTCTGTGAGATAGGTTAGACAATGAAGGTGTTACGTCTTTAACAACAAAAGGATACTATTTCAATTTTTTTTAATGTTTTTCATTATTAAATTCAATGTAAAAAATGCCCAGAGGCACTCTTTGAGCAACACTTATTTGCAACAGTTATTACGTGTCTTTAAACAATATTTGTGATTTCCCACATCCCCACGTCTCTTTATTTTGATACTCCACGTAATAATAATTTTATTTCCACATAAAAATGATGGGGTTTTTGTCTGGCATAGTTTACTGGGCAGTTCCAAGGTATCTGAAAGAACAAGACTGGAGAACACTGTGCATGTGGAGGTCAGCTGCGAAGCACTGGGATACCCAGCCTGATAGTGCAGGGAGGTTTTAAACTGCTTCTGCAGCTCTCCATGTATAACCAACACCTTGAGGGGACCTCTGTTCATGTTAAGAATTTGCCAAAACCTGTGGTCTAGGGCAGCAGGTTGCAGTCACAGAAAGGGAGACCTGTTTCTATGAACAGGATAGTGCACATGTGGGTGTACTTGGCCCTGTTTTATAGGGCTGTTGTTGCCACAGCTATACTGCCAAGGGAGGAGGAGGCCTACAAGGACCAGGAACGTGAAATAAAGGAACAACTTACCCAGAACATTTAGCTGGAATGGCTTTTTTGGGTGGAACACCAAAAATTTCCGGGAGTGACTGGTAGAGCAGGGTGGTAACACGCCGGTGTAGTAACTCACCTTTGAAACTGGAACTGGAAATGCCCTTGAAACCAAAGTTGCCTGTATCTCTTTACAATTCCTTCCATATTTTGGACAAACAGATGGTAGTACTGGCTGTTGAGTCTTTATTAGGTGCTTATGTAAAAAAGAAATCTTTTGTGTAAGACCTTTGTAGGTGAAGTGGTTGCAATATCAGTGGAGGGGTTTGTACACAGAATCACAGAAGATGCCGAGTTGGAAGGGACCCATGAGGATCATCGAGTCCAGCTCCTGACCCTGTACATGAGAACTGTTCAATCGGACTCGCCAGTGTGGAAGAGATTCTGGAAAGCGGGTGCCACCGGGAGCAGGGAGGCGTTCCCTGTGCTGAACAGCAGAAGAGGATGCCTCAATAAGTGATCGCTGCGGTGCAAGGTGATGGGCCTATATAATGAATTTCCTTTGGATGAGATCAACCCATGATAACCCTCCAGTGCAGTTTATGAATGGAAATGGTGATCCTACAGCTGTACCTCAGCAGCCGGAAACCCGGGCTCTGTGACAGCAGCTGCTTCTGACAGGTGTCTGCTGCCGCTCCGTGTTCACTGTGATACCTGCCTGCCTGTGGGCTGCTCCTCAGTTATTGAATCCTTTCCAGATTAGCTCTGTGTGCAGCTTTTCCAGGCAGTGGTCACGAAAATAGAACATGGATGTTCCAGCTGCTTTTGCTATAGCTTTAGTTAGTTCATTTCTCAGGTGATTTTGAAGATCTGGCATTCATTTTGCAATTAGTAAAACTCCAGTCTGTGTGATTGTGTCACCATACTGCTGCCCTGCAAACATCAGGGAAAGCATTGCCTGCTGTTGTGCTCCATGAGTGCAAGGAATCCAGCAGAAGGTTGGCCTTAGGCAGTGGCAGCCAGGCCGGCTGATGGCTGGGTGGTGGCAGTGAGCTGCTGGGTGGCCCAGGTGAGGTTCTTCTCCGGACAAGAGGATGTCGTGCAGGGGCCTCAGTAATCTGTGATATCTTGCATTTTTGCGGCCACCACTTATTATCCCAAGGCTACCACGACATCCCATCCACCTGTCCGTGCTAATTAGCTGAATGCGGAGAAGCCGTGGTGCGTAATTTCATGCTGGGTTTCTCTGCTCAGGATGCCTCTGTTGCTTGGCTTTTAGAGGTACTGGAGGGGGAAATAATGCACTGTTAGAATTATAGCACTAGGCCATAATTCCTTTGTTTTCCTTTATATTGCAGTTAAAACAGCTGCAGTAAGAGAAACAGGGCCAGTGTGCAAAAGAAGGAACTCTGAGGAATGGGGTAGCTGCTTGCTTGTTGGTATTCCACAGTGTAGTGAGCCGAATCCCAAAGCTTGTGGAGCTGAACGTGGGATATCTGCTGTGAGTGCTGAGCACGTGATTTCACACTTAGGCGGTGCTGCAGGGATGCAGTCATCTGGTGTAGCTTTACAGGGACTTGTAAAGCTGTGTGGAAACAGTGCTTAGGCAGGAATTACTCTGCATCACTTAATGCAGATGCACAAGACCCAGAACTGCCTTCAGGTTGAGACTTGCTCTTGGTTTGTGTGATTAACCCTATTAGGTGTCTGATGTCCTTAGCTTTAAAGGAACCTAGGAATGAAGAGCTGTTTCCAAAGCTGTGGATCCTGTTTTTCAAGGAAACAATCTACATTTCATTTGTTCTGAAGAATCAAAGGAAGATTTCAAGGTTCTCCAGAAGCTGCAAAATAGCAGCTCCTCCTCCATAGGCACCTAATTTGCATACCAGCATTCTTCAGGGAAGGCTTGGGAGACCAGCACACATCAGGAGAAAGCAGAAGTAAGGCTGGGGACAAAGTTGTACTATTCCTGTGAAGCAGAAACAAGATCTGAAGGAACTGAGAGCGCAGCACCTCACCTGCCTACATGAGATCAGTCACACTCAGGTGCTGTCTGGGAACTGTGCTTTGGCCTACTACACTTGACCAGGAAAGGAAAATGTATTTACAGTTTTGAGGGCCACGGTATTTGGCCGCTTTGGTATTTACTCTTACCGATGACAACTTATCAGACAGTAGTTTCCCCAGCACAGACACCTGTTGTGCATTTGAAAATGTGGATCAGCTTTTGTGAATAAACTGTCTGGGTGGCTTTGTGCTAACTGACACAAAGTATGGCTTCTGCCACACCGACTCACAGGGATTTCCATAATGACAGAGTATGGGTAGAGGAATTCCCCAGCAACTTGGGAAAACAGTGCACTGTATTTTTCCTGCTGACTA